TAAATAATAAATGATATATTGATTGTATATAAATCTTTTAACTGATAGAACATAAATATTACACTCAAACTAAGGCATACAAGAGGGTAATACTCACAACAGGTCGAATATGGGTCCATATTTTGGGTATGTTGGTAACTGAGACCGCTGTTAGATGAGTCTGGGTAATGAGGTACCCAATCTCATGGTTACTGGGACCCATTATTTCTTCCTAAAGTTAAATATATATAGAAACATAATTTTAATATCTAATATCATATTAATTCATAAATGTAATTGTTATGTTGTTAAATTGTGATGTTACATTGTTAAACAATGATATTATGTGTTAATTCATATATATGTTATAATATTATGTTAATTGAATAGTTCTTAGTGAATGAATTTTTCATCTTGATGTTAAAGTTGGTTTTAATGTTTGTTTGAGTAAAAAGATTTGTGTTTAATAATCAAATTAAGTTGTGTTTAAAAATTTAAATTAAGTTTTATAATTTTTTCTTCTTGATTGTCTAAATAACAAATAAGATCGTAGGAAACAAATAACAAGTGTATAAATTACTTGCAATAATTTTTAATATTTTTGAATTTATGGGTATCATGGATTTGTTGGGTACCCAAGAACCTGATGTATTAGCACAGGTCTGGGACGAGTCTGGATCCAAAAATGAAACAACAAGACGAATCTAAATAATGCACTACCCGAAGCCATCTAGACTCATTTACATCCCTAATGGTTGTAAGGACCCAAATTCTACCCTTGAAATTTTTTTCTCTATTTTAATCCAATTTCATGCATTTAACTATAAATTATAATTACCGATTGAATGAACTCATTTTAAAAGATTTCACTTCCCTCACCACACCCAATCTATAAACCAAAAATGACATATCAAATCAGATGACAGAAAAACATAATTCGTATTAATATAACTTAGTAACTACCGCATACAATTAGCTATGGGTTTCCAAAACACCCATAGCTACATATATCCCGAGTCGCTAGCTTCCAGGATTAATGTCATATACAACAATCATGTTCAGAGTTACAATTAGTTAGTTCAAGTACAACAAATGAGGTTACACAAAATGAATAAGAGACATCAAAATAAAAGTCTCTAAGCTCCTAATCAAAAACACCCTTACTCCTTCCACCTACCTGAATGGGATTAACATTGACAATACACCAAAGAAACACAAGGAGTAAGTCGTTAACTCAACAAATATCAATGTAAGTTAATCCATATTCAATAAGATTAAATAAGCGGTTTAAAAATTAAATTTACTTAAAACCATTTTCATCGTTCATACTTTTGAAAACCATGCTACATAACTTGAGCCAAAGTTTGCTACATTGCTTGAGCCAAAGCTTACTACATTACTTGAGCCAAAGTTTGCTACATTGCTTGAGCCAAAGCTTGCTACATTACTTGAGCCAAAACTTGCTACATTGCTTGAGCCAAAGTTTGCTACATTACTTGAGCCAAAGTCGCTAACCAATCATGGTCGGCTAAAAACGAGTTTTATTTCCATTGACACTTCACCAATACATTTTCCGAGTTTTATTTTCATTGGCACTCCACCAATACAAAAATAGTAAATGCACCCGACATCATTACAAACATATCCATATATGCTTATAACTACAAAGTGATTTACGATTCATTTCATTATTTCGATTTTTATTTCCATTGGCACTCCACCAATACATAAACAGTAAATGCACCCGACATCATTACAAACATATTCATATATGCTTATAACTACAAAGTGATTTACGATTCATTTCATTATTCCGAGTTTTATTTCCATTGGCACTCCACCAAAACATAAACAGTAAATCCACTCCTCATCACTACAAACATCCCATATATGCTTGTAACGACTAAGTGATTTACATTACATTTCATTATACACAACAGGAAATCCACGCATTTTCTATCACAATGCATAGGTTAAAGACTTATCCTTAACTCGGTGAGTGTTGGGTTTGGTTCTTGGCAATTTCTCAAGTTCCACCGACACCGCCTCCAACTTTAGGATCTTTCCTCATTCCCACCATACAACACAATGTTAGTCATTTATTCCAAATATCACATAAACAACTTATATTGCATCATTTAACCATAGAAGATATTCATCATATTTTCAATATTGCTAAACTACTTTCATCATAAGTTTACAACATCTAAAACATACATATTCATCTCATATTTCAACATTAGAAAGCTTAATCATCTTCTATCTCTAGCATCTTACTCATTTTCCATATTAACCACATCTTCACTCTAGGGTTTTGGGGTTTTCATGAACCAACCCACAAACTCTTTCCATTTTCGAAAAACTAACTCTAAACCAAGAGTTTACAAGATAAAAATCACATAAAACGAACCATAACTCAAAAGGGTGAGTTTCCATGGTTCCTCATATTTTGAGAAGAGATCCAACATACCAAAAATGGGTTTCAAGAGAAGAAGAGAGTTGGAATAGAGAGTTTTACCTCTTCTCAAGCTCTTGGACAAGAATAAAAGCTCCTAGACCTTGGGAATGATCTCTTCTCTCACCTCTCTTCAATTCTCAACCTAAAAATGTATTTGGGGTTTCTCTCATTTAATGCTCTCGTCGGGTTCTCGCTTAAGCGAGCTCATTCTCGTTCAAGCGAGAAAATCCCGCCCATTTTAAAAACTCAGATCTGACCCTCTCGCCCAGGCGAGGGAACTCTCGCCCAGGCGTGGCATCTCTCGCTCAAGCGAGGATCTTACAATCTCGACAGGCCCAAAGTGTCACTTTTCTCGCCCAGGCGAGCCAACTCTCGCTCAAGCGAGACCACTCTCGCTCAAGTGAGCCAACTCTCGCTCAAGTGAGAATCCTCCAGTATAGTCCAGGATTTCACCCTCCCAGGTGAGCCTTTCTCGCCCAGGCGAGACTCTCTCGCTCAAGCGAGAATCCCAGGACTGATACTATAATTTTAAAGACTTAAATTTAGGGTGTTACAATGGTAACTTGTCATGATGATTACAAAGAATGTTAAATAAGAACAATAAATGTTGTTTTGTTCTACTTGATTTTGCCATGTTCAGAAAAGGTATTTAGGAAAAATACTAATAGTAATGGTGTTAAATAAGATAACATGGTTGCAACTAGAGATGTCAAAATGGGCTATCTGGGCGGGTTCGGGCTAACCCGCATGGGGTTTGGGCTAAAGTAGGTCGGGCCAAAAAGTCCGGATACAATTTATGCATATCAAAATGTAGTCCAAACCCGCCCTAAGCGGGTTGAGGGTTGTGGCGGGCCGGCCCGCATAATATTAACTTTTTTAAATTTTAACATATTTAATATATATATCGTTAGATATTAGTGCATAACTTTTTTAACACAATTGTTATACCCAATGCAACTAAACTTATATATATAATGCATATGTTTGAGACATGATGTCAAGTCTATGTATATGATTCTTAACATAACTCATTTATTAAATATCTTATTTCTATAGACTCTCAATCTCTGACACAATATAATTTGTAACTTCACTTCAATATAATAAATGGATATAGTAAAAAATAACATTAATTTGGTTTATAGTAATTGTAGTATAGACTCAAATTCAGAATGAATTCTATGTGGCGAAGTATAACCACCATCATAATATTTCTTTACTTTGTATATGAATATCTTTATGCTCTTTACCAACACTTTCATTGTTAAATGTTATGTTAAATTTGGTTGTGTGGAGTTCTATATAGTAAACAATTAAGTTGTCTTTTAGTTTCGTTGTAAAAATTATTTTCTTTATTATTTTTTGTTGTGGAAGTTAAATCTAATTAAATATACAATTAAGAAAAGAAAAATGGAATCTATATGGTTTAATGTTCTCATTTAATTTGATACATTATTTTGCTAATATTCTTAAAAGGATATTAATCAAAATATGAAAAATAATATAATGCTTAACTTGATAACATTATTGTAATTTATAAATATTTATGTTATAGACATTACTCTATTTTTTTTTTCAAAGTTCACATTAAGCTTATTACTAAACCAAAGGTCACAAAAAAAAGGTTTTAAAATAAGGAAAATAGGTAGCCCGAACCCGCCCGGGTAAGCCCAGTCCAAGTCCGGTTTTAATATAGCCGGACCGGTCTGTGCTAAAAAGTCCGGATTCACTAAAAAGTGTCAAAAAACCTACAAAATTTTGGGTTGTAGCGGACCGACCTGCACGGGTTCACCCATTTTGACACCTCTAGTTGCAACAAAAGAATTTAGAATTGGATTTCGGCCCTTTAACTCATCATAAATATATAGAGGGGTAACATAGAAAGAATTCATTGATGGCTGTGTTTGGAATTTTGATTGGTATAAATTCCAGTTGTAGTTAAATTTCGGTTCATTACATTATTATCATACTTACCAGTCTATGATTCTAAGATAAACGGCAATCATAAATTGAATTGACTTAAAAATGAGCAATGAATATAAGTGTAAATGAAGCCTAGAACTAATCAATGAGCAAAAATGACAATGCAACAAAGAAAACGATTGGTGATTATGTAGTCTTGAAAGTAACTACAATTCTTAGTAGAGAAAAATAATAAGTCAAATTAGCCTCTAAGTCAATAATAAGTCAAATTGGTGATTTGGCTAGCATAAGCCAAATTAGCCTCTAAGCTTATAAGATTAGTAGAGAAAAATAATACAAATATCAATTATCTCTTTGATAATCACACCTAAGGAAATCTACCTATTATATAATCAATCAATGGCATTTTGGATCAAGAAGAATACAACCTAATTCATTTAGAAGAACTATATGTTCTTCTTGAAGTTACAAGGGGAGATTAAAAATATGCTAAAAGTATGATATAGATATTCACATAAGATATACAAAAAAAAAAAACAAAATTTATAAACAATACACTTAGAAGATTGTAATTGGATTAATAGAGCAAACTTAAACTTGATTACAGAAATCCAATTCTTATATTTCTCAACAATACATCACATGCTTGACTCCATGAACGCCATTCCTAAAGGCATCACCATTGTGATGAACTTTCCAAATGGCATACAGGGAGCCAGGCACACATGCATATGCTCATAAATACAAAAATTTCAAATTTAACAAAAATTACAAATGCAACTAGTAATGCTTCCTTCACAACATAGAAGATGGTACTAATATTAACATGTACATACCCTTTGATGCTTTAGCTGGAAGTACTGAGCTGAGAGTAGATTTTACATGGAAAAACACCAACCAAGTTGATTTTCAATGGGGCAATATGGCATGATGAAAAGCTTGCTTCAAAAATACTCTTCACCTGAAGGTTATGATGACTTTAGTGAAATTTGGGGTCACATTTATGGGGCTTTAAGAGGGTAAAAAGATATGAAGGTGGATAACAAGGAGAAACTTTTCATGACTATTGCAAGTTATTATGATTACTCTAGGGATGCTTCATTGTGTAAACTTCTTTTCCATTACTCATAAACACCAATTCCTATTGATCTTATGAAATAAATCATCGGAGAGTTAAATACTTGATTTTACTGATAAGACTGCTATTTTATTATATATAAAGAAAATAAGTATCTCCTGGTATAAGGAGATAAGTTATCTCCTCCAGCCACTAAAATCGTGACATGTGTACCATTTAATCATTTTCTCCTAATATAAGGACATATATTATTCTCATATATAAAAGTATACAAATTTTTTATCATGTTATGTTTTGATTTGTTTTTTGTATTACTTGACTCTCACGGGAGAAACCTTACTCAAAAACATGTCTTCAAGTGCTTGTCACCTTATATTGCTATCCTCCACAATTGAACATCATTAAAAAATTAAGAAATAGATCTTTACCACCCTTGTCCTTTTCGGTTTATGCTCTTTGTTTTTTCTTTTATTCCTCTCTTTTGGTACATGTGATGTAAGAATATACTTGAGTACTTGTTCCACTTCTTTGTTTTCCTTCCTTTATGCATGCTCCCACTTTTAATTAATTTGAATAAATTTCTTCAAGCATTTCAAATCAATTGCTTCATCACAATTAAACATTGCAAGTTAAAAAATAAAAGTTCAATAAATTAAAGAACGCTAACAAACAACAATTAGCACAATGATCTTCTTATTAAGTATATCACCTAAGGTTATATGACACTTCATATTAGAACATGACATTAATCTTTTTAAATTAAACTATAGAATACAAGCGTGTGAAAAAGTTTAGAAATCATATTTTATAATTGTTTATTTCTTGTGAAGATTGGGTCAGAATATATCATACCTATCAACCCACATGTGCAAGAGGTCATAGACTGAAAATGGCATTGGATTTTAAAAAGAAAGCAAAAAACGTTTTTCAACCCAGAAATTATAGAAAGATTAAGATAAGTGAAAACATAAAACCGCGCCCTTATGTTTTTTGAGTGCTCGTATTTAATGGTTTAAATGTATTTACTAATTCAAACCATTGGATTTCCAATAATGAATGACTATAATGTGTAATAGTTTTTTTCCACTTACTCTTGGAACATGAGTAAATGGATCTTTCCCAATATATTACTCTAAATTGTTTCTATCCTTTCATGCAATTCATTAGGGAAAAGGCACATACACAAGCAGATTTGCTCAATATATTGATGATTCCTTCAAGTAAGACAGGAAATCCAAGTAGGACCAGAATAATTCCTGAAACAAAAGAGGCACCAATCAAACACTTGAAGGAACATTTAAATATTTACAAGTAAAATCATTTGCATGATTGGAATAGAAATTCAAAGTGTCATCATTTTTCCTTTATAACATTGAAGATTCTAAATTTCTTTTGATATTGTTAGTTTTCTGCCTTGTATAATTTACATGCATTCTATTTACAAGGGAAAATGAAAGACCACTTTGATCTTGGCATTGGCACACCAATTTTACTCGACAGGTTCGAATGGTCGGCCACGTCAACAACAACTGCAAAAGATTATTTCATTCATCCTTCTAGTATAAATAGGGGAATCTCCTCATAAGGAAATATTTATTATTCACTTTTATTATTCTCGCTCTCTAACCTTAGCTCTCTATATCCTCAAATTAATCTCAAACTGACTTAATCGTTGGAGCACATTTTCAGCTACACCATCCATCGACGAGTCCAAGCTCAATCCAGACATCTCCAAGAAGACTTATTGTCCGAACTTCCAGCCCGACTCACCATACTTATCAACAACTATATTTCATAATCAAACTATATGGATGTAAAAATTAAAATAAAGGCAAAAGTGTAAAAAGACAAGATGACAAGATGTGCAAGTGTTGTACTAAAAATGAATTTTTTGGGCATATGCTTCTTACAATTTCGGTTCCTTTTATAACATTGGCTCAAAGATAATCACGCGTAAATTTCACAAACATTGAATTTTACAATTATCTCTCTAATAGGTAGGTATTAAAACATTTTATGACCACGTTCAATTGCCCAATTTTTCTCCTTTGAATACCAATTTTCCATGTCTAGAATATAGTAATATGCTAACGCAATAAAACAAATTTAACAAATACCTTACAATCACCAACCTATATACTTTTAATCTTTTCAAAAGGTCTCTTTATGTTATCTTTTCTGCAGAGTTGAATCATTAAAAAAATGCAAAATCTATTAAATATTAAAAAGTGTTAATATAGAGGGTGAGTCTTCGTACAACGGTAATGTTGTTGTGTGCCTTCTAACCTAGTTGAAATTTTGAAAACAATATTTTCACTTAAGGATATAAGACTATATACATCTATCATACGCAAATCCCAAGAAATTCATGCATTTGGACCATCATTTTATGTTTTAAATATAAAATTTTTTAAGTCAGTCTCCCCCTATTAAAAAAGTATGAAAATATACCAAAATAAATTATGAAATTAAACTCTTATTTGACTTACTTTTTTAGTATTTTTAATTTATTACTATTCATATGTAAAATTTTAATTAAAATAAAAGTATATATATAACAATAATATCTACCAAATACAATAAAAATAAGAGTTCTATAAAAAAAGAAAAAATGCAACCAATTTTCTTACCGGACAAAATGTTTGTTGTATTTAATCTATTTAGTTTGGTTTCTATTCCCTCTACATTTTATTCAAGCATTATTTTCTTGCTGATATTATGATAAGCCCCACTTTTTTAATCAAATTGTTGATATTATTCATGTAATAACTATATTATTTTCCCATATTTTTTGTTTGCAAGATGTTGTAAGCATTGTTATTCAACACGAACCAATCACTTTCTCCGTGTCGGTAATGAGTCATTGACTCCTTGGTTGTAATTGACTCGATTTACATTAACAAATCAAAAAATTCATAATAATAGTTAACATTAATAGGATAAAAGATGTATACATCGACATTTTATATGTTTTATGTATTATCATTGCATTATCTACTATTCATATTTAATCATCATTGAATCTTCAAAAAAAATAATCCAAATGAATAGTACATGACATAATGATTGTATATAAATTTTTATAATCACAATGCATATATTACACTCAATTTAATAATTCTATACTACAAATTTTAAATATTATCAGACTTAATCTATTATATATATATAAGAAAAAAATGTTTTTGTCACATCATCATGTTTTTGTCATATATAATAAAAATAATGTTTTTGTCACATGTGCCTCCAAAATTAGTCCATATCCATATTATGTACCCTCACACATTGTATTAAATCTATATGATCAATAAAATCTAACTTTTAATCAATCTAACTCTCACTAACTTCTTTTCAATCTATTTTGTTTTCAAATGATTGGAAATGTTAAGAAATTCTGTCTATTGTAATATTAATTACTTTTCATAATGACTTTGAATATTGTACACAACTTATCAATGATTATCTATATATTTCATTTTATTTTATCAAATTATTACACAATGTTACTAATATATATTTGTAATAAGATGGATAAATACGTGGTTTCAAATATGTCAAAATCAATCTGACTCATATGAATGTACGGGTAATATGTGTTCTTAACCATATGACAAAAAAAATATGATTAAGAACAACCTCCCGCACAGGATAAAGACACCTCACTTTGTACAACATCACACATGTGACACCCTAAATTTTAAAGTCATTAAATTATAGTATCAGTCATGGGAGTCTCACTTGAGCGAGAGAATTTTCGCCGGGGCGAGAGAGGCTCACCTAAGAGGGTGAAATCCTGGACTATACTGAAGGATTCTCGCTTGAGCGAGAGTGGTCTCGCCTGAGGAAAAGTGGCATTCAGGACCTGTCGAGGTTGTAAGATCCTCGCTTGAGCGAAAGGATTCTCGCTTGAGCGAGAGTTGTCTCACTTGAGCGAGAAATCCCTCGCTTGAGCGAGAGCGTCAGATCTGAAATTTTAAAAAGGCGGGATTTCCTCGTCTGAGCGAGAATGGGCTCGCTTGAGCGAGAACCCGACGATTTCACTTTAAAATAGAAACCCCAAACACATTTTAGGGTTAGAACTTTGAAGAGAAGAGAGAGAGGGGAGCTTTTCAAGAGCAAAGAGCCTTATGAATCATCTTAGAGCTTGAGAAGAGGTAAACCTCTTGTTTCTAACTCTTCTTCTTCATCTCTAACTTGTTTTGGGTGTATGGATCTCTTCTCAAACATATGAGAAATCATGGAAACTCTTCCGTTTGAGTTGTGGTTCATTTTATTTAGTTTCTCTCCTGTAAAATCTTAGTTTAGAGTTAATATTCAAAGAATGGAAAGGATTTGTGGGTCGATTTATGAAAACCCCAAAACCCCCAAAAGGAAAATGTGGTCATAAGAGGAAATGTGTTAAATGTATATCATGAAGAATATGTTGTGTGTGGTTTGTTTATAATGATGATGTGTTATGAGTTGTTGATTTGTATAGGAGGTGAATGTTTATTATGATAAACTTATATGGGTATGTTGGTTACAATGATTGTGTGATAAGTGTTTAATGGCAACAAATGGAAGAGATTATGTGATATGAGAATAATTGTGTTATGAGTATGTGTTCTAATGTTGAATACAAGGTGAATATGTATGTCTTGAATGATT